ACGTGGGCCACGGTCAAAACTCCTGTGGCTACGATTTTGATGAACCCCTCAAAGTGGTGGACGTAAATCCCCGCCATTCTAGGGGTAGCTTCCCCATTCTTTCCAGGGATCCTTCTTTTCCGGAAACCATCAAAAACCCAGGGGAAATGGCAATCGGTTTTTGAAAAGAACGATGGTTGAAAAGAATGGAAAAGGCATCAACCCCTAGAGCCTTGATGTTCAAAGGGTCCCCAATTCAACTTCATACCTGTCATGGTCATGGTCATGGGCATGGTTCCCTCAATACTGGGTGGGAAGCTTCATTTTGCTTCAGCTTGATGCCCATCCTTGTCAACCCCTTTGAGCACACAAATGACTAACCAGTCTAGGAGCTGACACCGCAAACAAACATGGCATGCTGAAGCTCTCGTTCCTCAGTGTGATATTTCACAGGGCTCATTGCATTGTCCCTGCAAATGCTGCGATTGTCTGGCGAATTCCAATGACAGTGCCGCTTTTGAAGGTTCAACAAACAGCAAATTAGGGCAGCCTCTGCAGCCTTGTCCTGAACCGGAGTCGGAATTTGGAGGGATGAGCGTGAAGCGGCAATGCTGTTTCAGGCAAGAAGACGGCGTTGGAACCCTTGCCGTTCCCTGCAAACCGCGAAGTGAGGGATGCCCCAGCTGAGCTTACGCAGCTTTGTTTCGGACCAACGCTTGGGCATACATCTTAAATTCGGGACGCTTTTGGGTACAACATTTCAATGAGGGATTCATGCCCACCAACCACTTTAAAGGTGGTTCCGACTCCGAACAAAACATAGCCACCTAAACATCTGGCTCCGGACTTTCCCGCTTCGTCGGAACCCGCTCGATGCCGCGGTCAGAGTTCGGGGATCGGCAAAAGTCCGCGCCTTGCCCGCGCCACGCAGCTCCTGGGAAGAAAATGGCGTGGATTGGCGAGCGGGCTGGCTGGTCTGCTGCTCAAAGTCCAGTGGATGGTTGCGAAATCCCTTTCCAACGCACCCTTTTTCGGAAACCCAAGGGAATGGTCCGATTCCCCCTGTGAATACCAAGAAACGTTGTGGTTTCAACCAGGGCTTCAAAGTAGTGCGAGAGGGATTTGGTCCAACAGTAGGGCCCTCCTAAAATGGCTTCGGGTTTTGCTTTGGTTTCCCTTCAACTACCCCCTTTGGCTCTTTCAGAAGCTTCCATCTCAGAACAGAACCCTTCCAAGTGAAGGCAGCTACGCCGCAATTGTCCGCTCTTTGTTGGCCACGACAGCAGGTATGCAAACGGGCGCGGAAACGGTATGGGAAACAAGGGGCCTGTCACACTCTCTACAAACTTTTCTGGCTGGCATTGGTGCAGAACCTGGTGCTTTTGGCACCACCAGAAGTGACTGTCCTCTTTCAGATCTTCTGCTGAAGTCGAAAACTGTTAGGTGGAAACTTGTGGCTTAAATTCGGAAACCCAAACACTAAACCCTAAAAAGCACAAAACCTAACAGGATGGGAAACTTCCACTGAACCAACTACAGAGATCTAAGAACCTAAGGAACCGGATGGCTGGTTCCGAACCTGCAAGAAGCGGGGCATCTAAGGCTTGGTAGGCTTTTGCGAGGCTTGGAGGAGCCATCCTGCCCGCTTTCTTCGTGTCCAGGATTTGCAGACCTTGCTCGGCCCAAATACTCCGTGCTTCGGATGGCCGGTATTTTCAATAAAAGGTATCAGCTTCAAAGTGGGGCTTCAAACATGACTTCTCCTTTGGATTGACTCGACTTCGCGAAAACGCGAATGTCGGCAAGGACAGAGGTCTCCAGACAGCCAGCGCTCCGTTTCGAAAGGAATCCAGCCTGGGTGAATTATAATATTTCACCAACCTGAAATAAGGTATTTGGGGTGAATTCGATCGCGTGAGGTCCTTATAGCTCACCCAGATCCAGCCCAGACCCCATCAAATCCCATCCATCCTCCGCAGCCTCCAGCAGGTCCCCGGACCATAGGCCCGGGCACTTCTGCTCCGCCTAGCAAAAGGCCACGTGGAGCTCGCAAGGTCCGCGCAGACTCGCGGAATTTTGGTCGGGTGGCGTTCATGTCAACCCACTACCAAAAAATTGGGAGCGGGGTATATATTTACCGTGGAAAGTACCGATCGGTGTGTTCAAGAAACATACCAACCGGCAGAAAGCGGTATGGGGTGTAACCCGCAGGCGGGCAAAGGACCTGAGCCAGCTGGAGCTCTTGGAGTTCCCCGAATGGAGGTGTTTTTGGTTGCACTGGGATCGAAAGCCGTTGGTTTTCGTTTGGTCTTGGCCAACTCCGACAGGGACTACACCCAAAAGGGACTCCATCTTGGTGTCAACAAGGGCTTGGGTAGGACAGCGTCCCGGACTCCAGCTCAATGCAGATTTTCCGAATTCTGCGGCAACTGACTTGCTGTTCAAACTCGGCGAAGCTGCATGCTTCCTAGACCTGGTGAATCCTCCGTACTTGCCATGTTCAAACATAGCTTTGCCCCATCCATCTAATGCCCTGGCCATGATATGTTTTGGACCTTTCAAGAGGCGGTGGCTGTGTCTAGAATCGCGCCTGTGAGGCATCTCGATTCTTGGGGGAATCCTTTTCTGATGGTAACTCCTCTTTTTGGCTGTTTTGGGGTACCCGAAACAAAACACACACACACACATACACACACATCCTCTTGTTGGCACGGGTAGATTCTTCCTACGCTAGCCACGAAAGAAAAGCAATGGCCGGGCTCACCGCACTTTCGCGCTGCCAATAGTCATCACCGTTCGGGTCCGACTGGATAACTATGTACGTTCGGTTCTTGGTGAGTGATAGCTTCATCTCCATCAAGGCCTCACTCTGCATGTTAGTCCCCCGAAACGGCCAGCCGTGTCGATTTGGCGCACAGGCACTGCGACCTGGCCTTTCCCATGACCCTGGCCACCGCGATCTTCCGGGCACGCCTCAAGCAAAGGAAGAGGAAGGGATCACCAGCTCTGGACTGTCCGTTTTCAGATCCCCCGCTAAAAGTGTCACTTTTAGTGGGTGAAATGAACCCTAGGAAGATGAAAAGCCCAGGGTATGGCTGGGAGCCACCAAGCCAAGGCTGCCCCAATGTTCCCTTTTGGTGGCTTTAACATCACCTTGTGGGCCATTTTTTACTTGAGTCGTTCTTTAAGTGGGTTTAAAGGGCACTTGACAAGTTCAGACATGGGCGGTCTTCGGGCTTTCACTGAGATGGACGCCACTCCTCGGACGCTGATTCTTGGAGCCAACTTCGTGGATGAGTTGCGTGTTCCTGTCACCAAAACGCCGATGGGCCGGCTACGGCCATGTTTCCTGGGCATCCCGAAACTTGCTGGCGCTCACTTTCTGAATGACCTTCCGGGTTTGGGAATGAACCGATGGATTCCCGAAGAAAGGAAGCCATCGGCGATGGGTAGGAGTCATTCCAACGCATTCCCTGAGAACCAGCAAGTTGCGGAGTGAATCTAAAGTGCGCCCGAGGTCCAGAAATGGCTGTCTCCCCACCAATGGTGGTGTTCCTTTCGGTGTTCCTTTCAAAATCGAAAGGGCGTACCCTCAAAAAGAGACACCCCCTGTAAGGGTTAGTGTGAGTCATAATCCAAGCCTGGTATTAAACTGGTGTACCTAGAACCATGCAAATAATTTCCCCAAGGCGGATCTGCACCGATTTACGGCTGGGATTCTCCCTAATTAACCTGCACTTACCAGGTTTTGAGCAAGTGGCTCGCGTGAACAAGCAAGACCAGGTGCACTTAAACCAACATCGCTATCAAAACAACCGTGGCTACCCACATTTTGGGCAAGTGGGTCATGTGATGTGACGGGTTACATTTCACCAAAGGGAAGTCTAGTTTGAGCCCTGGAGGGGAGTAGCTTGAAGCTACTCAGAAAAAATGGGTACAGGTGGGGGGTTACATCCAAAAACAAGTTGAAAAACAAAAACGCGAGGGTTCTCAAAAAGAAGAAGAATGACACCCCCGAAGGCCTTCATGTGGCAGTGGGTCAAAAAAATGGTAACCCCAAAATGGGAATGGTACATGGAAACATGGATTACACCTGTGGTCCCATGGTTTGATTTTGACCCACAGCCATGCGGCCAGGGTTTACCCCCAGTGAACATCCCAATTCCCACCAAAATAGGTTCTAAAAAGGGTGGTGACTTCACCGACCAAAATGGGATCCCAAGACGGTTTTGACCCACGGCGATCGGCCGGGGCCCCCGGCGCGGGGCCCGAGATCCAGAGCTGCCAGGCGGATCTCAGCCAGGCGCGCCGCTTCCTCCTGAGTGATCCGCAGTCCCAAGGGGGACGCGCCAAACACATCCCCCCTCTTCCCCCCCCCCCACCCAGGAAGAAAATGAAAAGGGAAACAAAAAACCAAACAAGGGTTTATTGATTTGCGCAGTGATTCATCTCCCCCCCCCCAAGGATTGATTAATTCGACAGGTTCTTAGATGTTATTAGTCCTCCCCCTCCCAAAAAAACGGCCAGGGGCTTATGAATTTACGAATCTGGGGTTGGCGGAACATGGGCACCGTTTTGGACCCCCTTTGTTTTACGGAGGGTCCTAAAAGTGAGACCATGGCTTTGGCAATCCAAGCTCGGAATTGTTTTCGGAATTGTTTGAATCAGCTGAGTTTACCAATAAATTTGCGCCGTGAACCCTGGTCGCAAACGAGCTCCGTGACCGCCCTGGTGCCTGCGAAAGCTACACTGCGTCGTCTTTTCAAAGGGAGCCAAGATGTGGCTGAAAATACGGCACCAGCCGACGCATGACGTCAACTACTAGGTCCTCCAGTAGAGAGGTTAGAATAAGGGTACCCTTTTTTCTGTAGTCTATTTTAGAACCCTCCCCAAAAAAGGAATAAAAGGCACTACCGGGGGACCTAGACTAAGTCCGGAACCTACAAAATGCGACAAACCAAACACGCGTGCCAAAACAAGCCCCGCGACCCCGCAAACTCCTCTGCTCCAGCTCCTCCGAGAGCTGCAAGTCCTGACAGCCACAAGGATTTCCCCTAGGTGTGCAGGGAACATGAGGCAAAATCAACTGCGTAGACCCCAATGGAAAAATGAGTTTATAAATATACAATATATATATATATATATATATTTAAAAACAAAAAATGGGAGGAGTGTCACTCGATCGGGAAAAAACAAATCGGCTGCCCTTGGTTTTCTCCTTTAGAGCATCCCCAAAAAGTGGACTGCGTGTTGCTCCACAGCCCCGCCCTGCCGGCCGCCCCGCGCGACTCTTTCAAAACAACGACCCTTGAAGAAAAGACCTTGGTGGAACTCTGCTTTTTGGCCAAGGTGTGCAATTGAGTGGCTACAGGCCCTAACCATCAGCCCTATGAAACCAAGGAGTGAAACCTTTCTAAATGGCCAGCACGGCTCACGCTCATAGGACCCCCACCCCTCCTTGAGACCCAGCGTGGATGTGCTCCCGTCGTACTTCCACCGCACCTGGACCTCGGTGTGGTATGGTAAGGTATGGTAAGGTATGGTAAGGTATGGTAAGGTATGGTAAGGTATGGTAAGGTATGGTAAGGTATGGTATTGTATGTACTGTATGTATTGTATTGTATTGGTCGTATGGTATCTACTATACGTGTTGTATGTATGTATGTGTGTATGTGTGTGTGTATGTATGTATGTATGTATGTATGTATGTAAGTATGTAAGTATGTAAGTATGTAAGTATGTAAGTATGTAAGTATGTAAGTATGTAAGTATGTATGTATGTATGTATGTATGTATGTATGTATGTATGTGTGTGTCTGTATGTACGTACGTACGTATGTATGTATGTATGTATGTATTGCATTGTATTGTATTGTATCGCATTGTATCTTGTCGTGTTGCATCTTCTCGTATTGTTGTGGTGTAGTTGTGGTGTATTGTATTGTATTGTATTGCATTGCATTGCATTGCATTGCATTGCATTGGACTGCATTGCATTGCATGTATGTTTGTATGTATTCACGTATGTGTGTAATGTGATTCAATGTGATGCAATGTGATGTGATGTAATGTGATGTAATGTGATGTAACGTGATGTAATGCGATGTAATGCGATGTCATGTCATGTCATGTAATGGCATGTAATGTGATGTAATGTGATGTAATGTAATGTAATGTAATGTGATGTAGGAATGCATGTATGTACGTACGTATGTATGTGGTTTATGGAGTGTATTGTAGTGTAGTGTAGTGTAGTGTAGTGTAGTGTTGTGTATTGTAGTGTATTGTATTGTAAGTATGGATGCATGTATGCATGTATGCATGTATGCATGCATGTATGCATGTATGCACCTTGGATGAATGGATGCATCTCTGCATCTACGTATCTAAGTCGATGTATCTATGCATTCTCCATGTATGCAGGTAGCTAGGTAACTAGGTAGGCATGCAGGTAGGTAGTAAGTAGGTAGATAATCATCATCACTATCAGTATCAGTATGATTATGGCACGTGAATGATTTGTTGTTCTCATTGATATTATTAATATGATTATTCTGACTCGTCATTATTCTGACTTACTATTCTGATTTATCATCATAATTATGATTATCATGATTATCAGTTATCCTTTTGTGTAATTATCCTAATTGTTCTTATCCCAATCATTATTATAATAATTATCATTATCCTAACTGTCATTATCCTGATGATTATTTCATAATTATTATCATCATTACTGTCAATACTGTTATTTTCACTCAGCCGGCGAAAGCGAGGCTCTTGTCGTTGCGAATGCACTCGAGGCAGTCGCCTCGCCGCGGGCCATGCGGAGTAGCCTTTCACCTCGCCGCTTTGTGGTAAGCGTCCAGGAGGTGCTGCGGCACATCGCAGCCAGCTTCCCAGCAGAGCCTCGGGACAAACAAAAAATGGGAATTACAAGTAGGGGCCAAGACAAGGCGATCCCCTGTTGGCTTGCCACGACAAAAAACGGCAAAATGGCTGCCAAACAAAGGGAAGACAAAAAGACTCAAAGGTCCCAAAAATTGGTTCATCCGCTTTGGATGCCCCGGAGCTTGTGCTCCGTCAAGTGCTCCGTGCAGGGCCTTCCCCCCGGGTCCGCCGGCACCGTCTCCCGACTCCGCCGCGTCTCCGCGGCGGAGCAGCGAGCGCAGGCCCAGGAGCTCCAGTCCGTGTAGCGGCAGTCCCGAGGACAGGACCTCTCCTGCCGCGTTTTTGGAGGTGGTCCCCAGAAATTTGCGTCATGAATCCAAGGGACTGAAACCAAGGGAAGGAACCCCTTTGTCACTACCCGTGTTTTTGGTTTTATGTTGTCGCTTTGGAGTTGACACCTAGAAATGTGTGGTGTTTTGGAGAAGTCACATGTCACTTGTACGCCAGAAATTTGCTTAAAAGGAACCAAAAATGTGTCACTAAGGGAATGAACCCTATGTCACTACCTGTGTTTTTGGTTTTAAGAGGAGAAGTCACATGTCACTTCCAAGGGATTGATGTGGATAAATTCCATTGAATACCTACCAGCGGGCCTGTCTATGGTGGGCATTGGTTTAAGTGCCCTGGTAAAAAAGAAGAACAACAATAGAAAGAGATTCCCGTTAAAAGCAAGCCTGGAGAAAAAAGAAGATACTCGCGTCGCCAAATGGAAGAAAAGAAATCACTCTTTTCTTGGTCGACGTTGGAAGGGGAGCAACAATTTAGAATTTAGCAGTTAAGTGGGGATGTCCCACTAACCCACAACAAGCAAACATATAAAAATGTTTCCCAACAACCATGTTTTGGGGGCCCCCAAAAAAAATGACCCACCTCGCGGTTGTCGCCGCTGCAGGGGATGCCACCCTCACGAGGCACGCTCTGACGGTAGCGGCTCACCTTGCCGCCGCCGCCCGGGCCGCAGGCCTCCCAGCTGCCCCACTCCGACCAAACCTCAACCCAGACGGCATGGGCGTGCAAAAGGCTGACTCCGTTTCTGGCAGCCCAACCTGAACATGAACAAAACCCACAAAAGCTGTGGCTTTTTTTGGCAGCCCCCCCAACCTGTAAAATGAACAGAATAAAAAAACACCCCCCCCCCCCCCCCCACAACCTGTAAAAATGAACAGAACAAAACAAAAAAACTTGATCCGAGGACAGCGAAGCAACGCAGTCCATGCATTGCTCCGCGCAGCTGCGAAGCTCCCGGCGGTCCTGGCAACGGTCCGCCTGCTCCTGGGGCATATCGACGCCGCGGATCCGCAGCTGTTGGCCCTGACAGGGCACGAGGCACCTCGGTTGCTTTCTGCTCCCCCGCTAAAAGGTGAATCACTTTCAGTGGTTTAATACGGAAAACCCATTAGTTGGCAAAAAGTTGAAGTCCCAACATCCAAGCAAAACGCACCAAAGGCGCTGGGTCCAGTCCGCCCAGTCACCATACTGACAGCACTTCACCGTGCTCGTTGAGGTGACAGTTGTGCTGGTGCTCGTAGTGATCACGGTGCTCGAAGTCGAGACTGTCTCGGCGGTGACGGTGGTGGTGGTGCGTGTGGTTCGAGTGCGCGTCGTCGTGGTCGCCGTGGTGGTGCTCGTCGTGGTGCTGGTGCTGGTCTCTGTGGACGCAGGCTCTCGGGGGTCGAAGCTAGAGGCCTGAAACCAGAGGAGCGCGGAGAGCGTGAAGGGCATGCAGCGCATGCTTCGCCTGTATCAGTCAGACATCTTCTCTTGCGGTGGCTATACGGCCGGAGCTCTTGGCTGCCATGACACGATGCCTAGCTCAAGGTAAGAGTTCAAATGCAGCGGCGACGCGCGAAGGAAGTAAACCCTGCGGGTAGTTGAGAAAGGTCTCCCAACATCACAACAAACCTTTCAATTTTCGAGAGCCGTGGTCCGATTTAGTCTCTGACTGCGTGGCAACGCTCCCATCAGGAAAGCGTTGAGCCGCCGGCTTCATCGCTGAAGGGGTCGGCCTCCGTGATGGTGGCATCGAACCTGGCTCGACGAAAGCTGATTTGGGTGGGGGCGCCATTTGGGCGCGGTCATGTTTTGGGTGGAAGCCAAAACTTCCCCATTTTGAGACATACCTGTTCGAGTGTGTTTTGAGAGATGGCAATCCGAGAAAAGAAGTCGGGGCTTGCTCCAGTGCAATCTTTTTCTCGCAAACCCAGCCAAAATGCAACTGGAAAAGCTGAGCAAATATATCCTGCGGTGAAATCGATTCCCTTTAAAACCAACAGGGTAAAACAAAACTTCAAAAAATGGGGCAAAAACAAAACAAAAAGCCACACATTTCAGAACATGGAAAGGACCTTGCGGGGCTGCACTGTTCACCCGGGCCCCAGCCAGCCCACCGAAAAATCAGGACGGCAGAACCACCGCCAGCCGTAGCGGGCCCGGACCTCCGTCCCGACCGTCATCTCCTGATCCCATCAGAAGGCTTCCGGCTTCGGCTTGAATTTTTTGGCCCTCCCTTAACCCAAAGCAAGGGGTACCCTAACAACAAGGAACCAACATGGGGGTGTTCCTTTTGCTGAGGGGTACCGACTCCAAAGAAAGGAACCGCACCACAGGGACTTGGACCCCCAACCTGGTGCCAAAAACCCTTCTTGGCCTTGCCAATGTCAAAAACAACACCGAACCTGGTGCCAAAAACCCTTCTGCTTCTTGCCCTACCAATGTCAAGAGAAAACAACACTCCCGCTCTTCTTTGTGTTTGGGGGTGGGGTCCTTCTCTGATCCCCTGCTAAAGTTTAATTTGCGGGTTAAACGGAAGCCCAACCACTAAACCAACTAAAACCCACTAAAAAGCTAAGGAGCCGGATGGCTCGTTCTGAGCCACCAACTTCTTTCACATTGATCGAAGCACCCGGTGTTCTTCAGCGACGTCCGACTTCTGGCCTGCATTTCAGCCATCTGCTCCTTGCCGCAAATCGTCGAGGTGACTTGTGACTTGGCCTCCCAATAGGAATGTCTCGGAACCGCTGAAAAGGGCTCTTGCATAAAACCATCATAGAACCCAAAATACGGGGTCTCCCGAACAGGAGTTTCTCCCAAAAAATGGTCTACCCAGAACCATTTAAAGAATTAAAAAGGCGGATATCCGCACCTTCATTTATGGTTGGGATTATCCCTAACCTTCCTCTACCCGAATCGGTTTTGATTTCTGGCTCAAATGAGGTTGTTTGCAGGGCTGCCCTCAGATCCCTGCTAAAAGTTGTTCAACTGTTCGTGGGTTGAGTCGGAAACAAAACCCCCCAAAAGTCAACATAACACCCACTAAGAAGCTTGGTTCTTTGTTGACGTTGGAAGGGGAGCAAAAATTTAAGATTTAGCAGTTCAGTGGGGAATTCCCACTAAACCACCATAAGCCAAAATGTGATTTTTCTTTCTTCTCCCAACAACAACCATGGGTTCTCCCTGCGGATTTCTCTGAGGACGCTGCAGCGACGACATCCGCTTCCGACTCGCACCAGGTGGCGGTCCTGGCTCCGGAGGTCTGGATCATTACATTATACACCACATCGCCTTGTAAATGGTGGTGTCCCTTTATTTTGGTGTTGAAAAAACACCACATTGCAACTTGTAAATGGTGGCTTCCCTTTTATTTTGGTGTTAAAAAGCAACATGTTTCAAATGGTTGCGAAATCTATCCTTTTTAAGGAGCCCTGCCAAAGGACCTCGAAATACAAGGCGATCGCCTTTTGGCTCCACGACTAAACATGGGTACCAAATCAGGGAAACCAAAACGTTAAAATAATTTATTCATTAAAACAAAAAATGAAAGACCTGACGTGACAGGGGCCCGGTCCCTTTGAAAGGAAAATAGTCCAAACCAGAGTTCCGGTGCAAAAGAGTGCGACATGATGTTGCGACACGAAACTTTGGAGCCGTCTACTTTTCAAACCCCCAAATCGCTCGTCAGCAAAGCGCCAAACGACCACGACTCACATCACACATGCCGGGTGCACACGCCCAGCTCCGTTTGAAAAGCATCGCTCTCTTTCCGCACTGCCTGGCGGAATGGCATGCGCCGCACCGAGCACACCGACCAAGTCAGGGCAAGTCAGACCTCTCTCACAAAAGTTGGAACGGTGTTTCTTTGGCATTCTTATCTTTACAACCCTTGGTATGGTACACAAAACTGTTCTTTTTTTCAGCCCCTACTGAACATGAGTAAACAGGAAGAAAAAAAAAAAGAAGAAACAAAACTAAACACTTGATCCAACAGCAGCGAAGCTATCCAGCAAACGATAGTGGGGAAAACCAGATTGTTTGCCAAATCACTTGCACTATCAGTCGCAAGCCAGACTTCAGAGCTTGTATAGTGAGGTTCTCACCATCGAGAGGTTCTGGAAGTCATTAGAAGCAAGCACTTGGTTTGTTTGTTAGAACAAACACGGAAAAGCACCTCTGCTTGCAGATAACAGCTAAGCCGCCAGACAAACTCTCGCTTCACCCCGCGTCATCCAAAAATCACCCAAGCGACAGACGAGGCTGCGGGTTTCTGGAACCGCTTTCTTCAGTTCGGATCGTTGGTGGTCCGGCTCGCTCCCTTCGGGTGACTGGCCCGCCTGAGGTGGCACTCCTTCACCCGAACAAAGGATCGATTTTCTCGCTGCCGGGATGACCCAGGTTCCGTGTGTCGGGAATGATCCGTTTCGGGGATTGCCGAATCAAAAAAAACAGAAATCGGATGATTTACTTCGGGATTCCAACTCAATCCCTGCCTATCGAACCAGCAAGGTTCCATGACAACCTGCGAGGAACTTGGACTCCCCAAAGCCAACTCCCCCCCCCCCACCCACTTCATCAAAGGGCCTGCGCGGCGGCCCTGGGCACGCGAAGGCTCGCCTTGGTTTGGTGGAGCAGGTTGTATATAGTCTACTTTTCCATGGCAACCCATGTCAGGCCGATCTCTGTTTTGACAGATACAATTGCACTGGCATTGGGAACAGGGTTCAACTTGTTCACATCCCTGCCAAAAAGTCTACCCTGAAATTGTCAAAAAGTGGAACCCTGGACCTACAGCATCGGCAATGGTTCAAATGGCTGTGGGTTAAAAAAAGGTACCCAAAATGGGACCCTGCTAAATGGAAACATGGACTAAAACCTGCGCTCCCCTAGTGGTTTAATTTTGACCCACACCCAAATCTTTGGACGCCAAAGCTAGATCCTTCATGGGTCTATAACCAGAATCCCCAAGATGGACGCCTGCGATTAGCTCAACCTCTTGGCGGATCGGGGCTGAGTGATGCCCATGACCATCAAAGCGTATCAAAACCCAGGGCGGGGATCGACTCATGGGTGGCATACGGTCCCAGAGGTGTGCCAAGGTTTGCATTCCGAATTTCGTTCGCCAAACGAAGCAGCACAAATCCAAAAAGCCACCGACCAGGCCGCCCGGCGGTTCCCAGCTCTGGATCCTGATAGGTTGCTGGGAATTATGACTCTGAAGGCCATGGGTGTGTCTTCTTTGGGAGCCGGTACCCCTTTTCTGTTGTGGTTTTGGAGAGGCGAGGCAACTGAAAGCCGCTGATTTTGGGGAAGGTTGAGGCTTTTCTTTGCTAGCCCCGGCTTTTTACTAGCCCCGCCTCAGCACAAGGCCTCCCGCATGTGGCTCTAAAGAGGTAGGCCGGGAACCCTTGCTTCGCTCTCACGTTGGGGGCAGCAAGCGGTATTCTCTGTGGTGGATTCATCCCCAGCAACTAGGGCTGCTTGTTGGCTTTGATTTGGTGGCAGTTCAGAGTTCCTCGGAGCTGGTTTTGAGTGTTGGGCTTGGTGAGGTCTTAATGAGGGCGGGTCTTGGATTTGTTTGGGGTTCACTTAGGCTCGGAAACGGGCTGACATCTAGGATGCTGTTGAGAGGTTAAGGTTGACTTTGAGTCAGTTTGTGCGGCTGGTTTAGCAATGGCTGTTGGGTTGCTTTAGGGATGTGGCTGTGCCAGTTTTGGGCTAAAACCCCATAACCAGTCCCAAACCAATCCCATAACTAGCCTAAATGCCAAGACCCGCCCTCATTAAGACCTCATCAAGCCCAACACTCACCCGAAACCAAACCAGCGAGCAACTCTGGCCAACACGCAGCTCTGACAGGGGACCAACCAACCAGTCCCCTGGCCGGGGGAAAAAACAAAAACAAAACGGTTGCGTCCCCCACCCGAAAAACAACACCACAAAACGGTCACGGACACGCCCTCAACTTCCCCCTCGTTTCAAGGGATTTGCACAAAGGGCAAATGTGGGTTGCTTGGTGAGGCGAAAAAGCTGGTCAGGGCAACCTAGATTTTTGGTTCACGCCCACGTCAAAACTCTTACCTTGGTGGCTCCCAGCCATCCGCTTAGCTTTTACCTCTTTGCTTTTAGTGTTTAGTGGTGGTTTCCATTTAACCCACTAAAAGTTAAACCTTTAGCAGGGGATCTGAGGGCAGCCCAGTTACATAACACAACCCCCCACTTCCTTTTCGTGGGATCCTTCCATGAACAAAGGGAAGCCACGCAAAGCAGTGCCGATCCACCCACCTGGTTACAATGTCCATTTGGCTAAGCCCCCTTGGAAATACAGTAGTGATAGATTCGCTTTAAAACCAACAAGGGAAACATAAAAACACATCCTTAAACAACTGCAAGTTTGCATACTTGGACGTTCGTCTTGCCAAGTTAGTAGCAACCGCCACCTGGGTAGCCTTTTCGGCAGCTTCCTAAAAGCCAATTGTCAAACATAGGCTACCCCCAAATTGGGTTGTGGCGGATGGAAACATGGACTAAAACCAGACAGGTCCATATCCTGGTGGATTCATTTTGACCCCCCCCCAATTGGAAAAAACACTTGCAGTCAAGCGTTTTCCCTCCATGCCTCGAGCTCGATCTCCACCTCTTCGGCCTCTGAAGCGGGTCTGTGGAAAACCCCCCCAGTTTCGGCGGTTTCAAAGGACAAGCAACCAAAACCGAAGCCTTGTTGAGAGGCACCTCAAAAAGCAACAGCTGGTCCCCGAATTCCCCAAAAAATGAGTTTGCCAAATTCTCCCACCTATCGCTCTGATTGCCTTTGCCGACCTCAAACCAAGTGGTAGGAAAGCTGCCACGACCATGGGGTGCCGTTGGGGTTGGAGAAGGGAACCCAAAAGGAGCGCCCATGGGGTCCAAATCCCTGTCGCAATTGGATCCGCTCTGCTTGCGCGAATTGAGTGACGGGAATCACCGTGTGTCAGTTCGAAATCACCAAGAATTACCGCCCAATGTTGACCTCTGTTCCGTCTTTGGGTTGCTTTACAGGGAAATCGAGGGAAAATCCCAAAAGCGGACCCCCTGATTGAAAGCCCAGGCATCCAGTGATCAGGAGTCGACTTGCCCATCTGGCCTTCCAAAACCTGTGTATCTCGTAACAAACGCAAGGTCAAATGTCAGCTACTAGATCACTGGGCATTTGAAGACAGCCGGCCCTCTGTTTCTCTGCGCTACACAAACCATTCACCCTGGGGTCGGCACCGAGTCGGCTGGCCCCGAGTCAGCCGGCGCCGATTCAGCCGGCACTGAGTCAGCCGGCGCCGAGTCAGCCGGCGCCGAGTCAGCAGGCGCCGAGTCAGCCGGCGAGTGAGCAGGCGCCGAGTCAGATGCCGCCGAGTCAGCTGGTGCCGAGTGAGCAGGCGCCAGGTCAGACGCCGAGTCAGCAGGCGCCAAGCCAACTGGCATCAAGTCAGCGAGCACCGCCAGGTCATCAAGTGCAGCATCAGCAGGCGCTGCGTCAGCGAGTGGATCTGAATCCGGGCCTTTCCTTGGCTGTGTCTGGGTCGAATCTATTCTACAACGCCTTACTTCCTGATGACATGACAGGCGCACTTAGCCAAGGCCGTTGGCGCATTGCAGGATAGAGCCCGGCCGGGCTTTTGGTTTGCATTGGCGGCATTACTGCTGCCAAGAGTCTGTCGCTTCCGCTTGCGTGGCCTGAAAAACGTGCAGCAAAAAACTGCGACCGGAAACTGCGGCTTTCGAATGGCTCTTGCACATCACACCTGTTTGTTCTCAGCCTCAGCTCCGGCTGCAATTGAACGGAAATTGCTGGTGTAGCCCGTCTTGTCAATGCCGCCGAAAATTGCTCGGACTTCTGCAAAGCCAAGGCCAACGTAGGGTATGCAACATCTGGCCCGAGGGCGGGAAAAACGGACCAATAGCTCACTACTTGCCCGCAACCCCCCCCCCAGTTGAAGCGCATTGATCACAATCTTTCCCGCAAACGCGCCATGTGATAAACTCAGATGGGTTCATGTGTGTGGTGAGCGGACGATGCTGCGTAAGCAAAGGCTCACAAACCATTTTTGGCAACCCAAGTTGTGATCAAGCTGGCCCAACTGTCGCTTGGAATCGTGCTCTACTCGTTGCCGCTCGCAACGCAGGGCCCTATTCACAGCCATTTCAAAACATGTGAGAAAAACCAGCCAAGCGGCGAGGCAGCAGCAGTCGTTGCTTTCCGCTTTGGTTCTTTCGGCAGCTGCTTCTTCACCTGGCTCAAAACTTGCCACAGCCACAGCACGCCTGTACCAGCGATGACAATAACAATCAACAATGACCAGCAAAACCAAAAAAACCCAGCACCACCAACAACCAACAACCAACAAACAACAGCACGCCGTTTGCCTTGAACCGCGCGCAACGACTGTCCCAAGCCCCTATAGCACGCTGAATCAGGCACATTTTCGTTGGCGCGCGCAGCATTCCGTGACACTGCGCCCATGTGCTCCAAATTGGCCACATTCCTTTATCCCCATCAGCCACAAAGTGGCCACTCCAAGTCCGAGTGCTGAGCGAGTGCGCTTGAACGGGCGCCCTTACCATGTGGCTGGCGTGAGCGCAGTGCTGAGCGGGTGCACTTGAGTGGGCGCGCTTACCATCTGGAAACCAGCAAAATTCCCCCCAGAAACCAGTCAAATTCCCTATAAATTTGCACCTTCGCTTGGCCCAAGCCCACTGCCCTTCTGTAGCTCTCCTCGGCTCTAAGCCATGTGGAAACATGCACCAACCAACCTTGCAAACCAGCTCACGCATTTTGGCGCCGACTCATTCACTCTAATAAACACAAGACTTCAAGGCAAACTAAAGCACGGTATGTACCTCAAAGCCAGCCGAAAGCGGACTGGCCGAGGCGGGCAAGCATTTACAATTAAAGTCATAAAGAAAGGAAGAAAGGAAGGAAAGAAGGAAGGAAGAAAGGAAAGAAAGGAAGAAGAAAAAAAAGGAAGGAAGGAAGGAAGGAAGGAAGGAAAGAAAGAACAGAAAGAAAGAACAAAAAGAAAGAACAAAAGCATGGAAAGGAAGCAAGGCAGAAAAGAAGAAAGGAAGGAAAGAAGCAAGGAAGGAAAGAAGCTAGGAAGGAAAGAAGCAAGGAAGGAAATAAGCAAGGAAGGAAAGGAGAAAAGAAGGAAAAAAAGAACAAAAGTATATAAAGAAGAAAGGAAGAAAAGAAGCAAGGAAGGAAAGAGACAAGGAAGGAAAGAAGAAAATAAAGAAAGAAAGAAAGAAAGAAAGAAAGAAAGAAAGAAAGAAAGGAAGGAAGGAAGGAAAGATAGGAAAACACATAGAAAGGAAGCAAGGAAGCAAAAAAGGAAGGAAAGCAAAAAATAAAGAAAGAGAAAAAACATGAAAAGAAGAAAGGAAGAAGAGAAGCAAGGAAGGAAGGACAGAAACAAACAAACAAACAAACAACAGAACCAACAGCGACACCAACAGCGACACCAATAGCGACAGTATCACCACCTTTGCGGCAGACGGCACGAAACCCAACTGGCCGGCCTCTTCGACTGTTTCCATCTCATGCTCTTTGGCATCGGTGTTGGGTGAAGGCTCTTTGGCCTCACCCCCCGAAAGCGGCTCCACCGGCGCTGGCTCAGGCGGCTCTGCAGGCGGTGGCTCCGGTGGCCCCACGTCTGCAAAGCCTCCGGCGTGCTCAGGGGACCATACTTCCAGTCGAACTATGAAAATCTCGCAGTGACCCGCAAACAAGCTGGCAAGCCAGACCGGGTCTGGGCCCTCAAAAGTGGCTCCAGTCTCCCGTAACATGGTGCAGTCACGGTGAGGCAGTCCAAACAATCACAGTCAATCACCATCAAAACCTGGTGTCAAAGGGAGTGTACCGCCTTAGCAATGTGAGGAGAAATGTCAGATGTAAATCCCAGTTGCGTGGCCCGCATTGAAACATGTTTCTGTGCAATGGCAAAATATGTTACGTCGACGTTACATCTTATGTGGAGATGGTCAGGGTCGTCATTGGAGTCATGTTCACAAGGTTACCTAGGCTACTGGGGCTTGCGCTTATTGATCAGCGAAAAGCTCCAAAAAGGAGGCAACCTGAATCCCTCATGGAGAAGCATGCGGAGTGGCTGTTGCAAAGGATATGTCAAAGATGGTTTAGCTACCCCGAAACCACTACACCCCGAGGTTTAGTGGGATATACAACCACTATGCAGCCACTAAAGGGTATATACCCGGGTTTCTTCTGGGAAGTACTGGTTTGGGGTGGAAACCATCTTAGAATGCTGTATGTGGAAGCCGGAGATTACCTGGACTTGGCCTCGCTGAGCCAAGAAAACACCGGCTTGTCCAATTCAACGAGTCAGCCGCTGAACCGCGTACCGTGGGCCGAAAATGCCTGGCAGCGAGCTGCCGTCAGCTGGACTCAACCTCGGTGACGAGGGAGCTTTCTATCAAGGGATCATGGGGCTTGGGGGGAGGAAGGGGAGGAAGGGGAGGAAGGGGAGGACGGGGAGGAAGGGGAGGAAGGGGAGGAAGGGGAGGAAGCGGAAGAGCTCACTAAGCCCTGGCCTTGTCTGGGCTCCCTCCCCCCAGTTCCCTCCCCTCCCCCCCCCCCCAGCTCCTGTGAAGGAAAGCCTCTTTCAAGAACCGGGAACAAGAGAAGCCCTGTACCGGCGAACCCATCAACCCATCCGGCCAAATTGTCTTCGCTTGGCACGGGAATGTCATGCTCGTCGGATTAGGCACAGGACCCGAGGTACGTACAAGTAAGGTCCGGCAGAGCCGGGGGGCGGAAGTTTCAAAGCAGTGAACAACTATAGTTTGGAGAACTGTCCTTGGCCCCTTGCTTCTCTTTCTCTCTCTCTTTTTCTCTCTTTCTCTCTTTCTCTCTTTCTCTTTCTCTTTCTCTTTCTGTTTCTCTGTCTCTTTCTCTCTCTTTCTATCTATCTCTCTAGCTATCTCTACATCTGTTTATTGATCTATCTATCTACCCATCTTTCTCTGCACTTAAAAGTTGCGATGTTCAATCCCCGAAAGTTGACTTCGCGTACTACTTTCGTACTTAAAAGTTGCGATTTTCGAGCCCCAGCTGCGAAAGTGGACTTTGCGCACTACTTTCGTACTTAAAAGTTGCGATTTTCGAGCCCCAGCTGCGAAAGTTGACTTCGCGTACTACTTTCGTACTTAAAAGTTGCGATTTTCAAGCCCCGGCTGCGAAAGTGGACTTTGCGCACTACTTTCGTACTTAAAAGTTGCGATTTTCAAGCCCCAGCTGCGAAAGTTGACTTCGCGTACTACTTTCGTACTTAAAAGTTGCGATTTATCTATAGATCTACCTATCTATCTACCTCTCTATCTCCTATCTATCTATCTCCTCTCTATCTATCTATCTAGCTAGTTATTTGTCTATCTATCTACAAATCTATCTATCTCTGTCTATCTCTGTTTCTCTATCTCTTTCTATCTATTTCTCTAGCTATCTCTATATCTGTTTATTGATCTATCTATCTACCCATCTTTCTCTGCACTTAAAAGTTGCGATGTTCAATCCCCGAAAGTTGACTTCGCGTACTACTTTCGTACTTAAAAGTTGCGATTTTCGAGCCCCAGCTGCGAAACTGGACTTCACGTACTACTTTCGTAGTTAAAAGTTGCGATTTTCGAGCCCCAGCTACGAAAGTGGACTTCGCGTACTACTTTCGTACTAAAAAGTCGCGATTTTCGAGCCCCAGCTGCGAAAGTGGACTTTGCGTACTACTTTCGTACTTAAAAGTTGCGATTTTCAAGCCCCGGCTGCGAAAGTGGACTTTGCGCACTACTTTCGTACTTAAAAGTTGCGATTTTCAAGCCCCAGCTGCGAAAGTTGACTTCGCGTACTACTTTCGTACTTAAAAGTTGCGATTTTCGAGCCCCGGCTGCTCAAATCTGTGCTTGACCTTGCTAAAGCGCTGCGCCTGCCACAAAATCTGTACTTGACCTTGCGAAAGTGCTGCGCGTGCCACGAATTTTGCACTTGACCTTGCGAAAGTGCTGCACCTGCCACAAATTCTGTACTTGACCTTGCGAAAGTGATGCGCCTGCCACGAATTTTGTACTTGACCTTGCGAAAGTGCTGCGCGTGCCACGAATTTTGCACTTGACCTTGCGAAAGTGCTGCGCCTGCCACAAATTCTGTACTTGACCTTGCGAAAGTGATGCGCCTGCCACGAATTTTGTACTTGACCTTGCGAAAGTGCTGCGCCTGCCACGAATTTGGCACTTGACCTTGCGAAAGTGCTGCGCCTGCCACGAAATCTATACTTGACCTTGCGAAAGTGCTGCGCCTGCCACGAAATCTATACTTGACCTTGCGAAAGTGCTGCGCCTGCCACGAAATCTACACTTGACCTTGGGAAAGTGCTGCGCCTGCCACGAAATCTACACTTCACCTTGCGAAAGTGCTGCGCCTGCCACGAAATCTATACTTGACCTTGCGAAAGTGCTGCGCCTGCCACGAAATCTATACTTGACCTTGCGAAAGTGCTGCGCCTGCCACGCAATTCAAACCTTGCGAAACCTTCGCGCGGCCGTGCCAATGGTCCCGTCTCCGACCGTTCCGCACCCGTTCCGAACCCGTTCCGAGACCGCCGCCGTACAGGCGTCGCAGCCGAGGTGGTTTGCGCACAGTCCGGAAGCCCAATTCACGCACAGCGCCAACGTTTTCTGCATCTTGCCATCCCCCAGCTCGCAGAGAGTGCTTGCGAAAGTGCTGCGCCTGCCACGAAATCTATACTTGACCTTGCGAAAGTGCTGCGCCTGCCACGAAATCTACACTTGACCTTGCGAAAGTGCTGCGCCTGCCACGCAATTCAAACCTTGCGAAACCTTCGCGCGGCCGTGCCAATGGTCCCGTCTCCGTCCGTTCCGCACCCGTTCCGAACCCGTTCCGAGACCGCCGCCGTACAGGCGTCGCAGCCGAGGTGGTTTGCGCACAGTCCGGAAGCCCAATTCACGCACAGCGCCAACGTTTTCTGCATCTTGCCATCCCCCAGCTCGCAGAGAGTGCTTGCGAAAGTGCTGCGCCTGCCACGAAATCGATACTTGACCTTGCGAAAGTGCTGCGCCTGCCACGAAATCTATACTTGACCTTGCGAAAGTGCTGCGCCTGCCACGCAATTCAAACCTTGCGAAACCTTCGCGCGGCCGTGCCAATGGGCCCGTCTCCGAACCCGTTCCGAGACCGTTCCGAGACCGTTCCGAGACCGCCGAGACCGCCTCCGTACAGGCGTCGCAGCCGAGGTGGTTTGCGCACAGTCCGGAAGCCCAATTCACGCACAGCGCCAACGTTTTCTGCATCTTGCCATCCCCCAGCTCGCAGAGAGTGCTTGCGAAAGTGCTGCGCCTGCCACGAAATCGATACTTGACCTTGCGAAAGTGCTGCGAAAGTGCTGCGCCTGTCACGAAATCTACACTTGACCTTGCGAAAGTGCTGCGCCTGCCACGCAATTCAAACCTTGCGAAACCTTCGCGCGGCCGTGCCAATGGTCCCGTCTCCGAGACCGTTCCGCACCCGTTCCGAACCCGTTCCGAGACCGCCGCCGTACAGGCGTCGCAGCCGAGGTGGTTTGCGCACAGTCCGGAAGCCCAATTCACGCACAGCGCACAGCGCCACGTTTTCTGCATCTTGCCATCCCCCAGCTCGCAGAGAGTGCTTGCGAAAGTGCTGCGCCTGCCACGAAATCGATACTTGACCTTGCGAAAGTGCTGCGAAAGTGCTGCGCCTGCCACGAAATCGATACTTGAGAAAGCTATCTATGTGTTAAGCTGGCTATATGTCAAAGCTATCTATCTGTCATGCTAGCCTATTGGAAAGCTATCTATCTGTCAAGCTAGCTATATGTCAAAGCTATCTATTTGTCATGCTAGCTACCTGTCATAGCTATATGTCAAAGCAGCTAGCTCATTTAGTTCCAGTACTACGGAAGTTTCTTGTTAAACTTCCTTTGATTATAACTTATAACTGTACTCGCCGGCGTGGTGTTTTTCAACCTCCTGACTCGTGCGAAAGAAACCTGAAACATCGCCCAGCCTCCCCACAAACCCGTGCCCAACATCCTGAGATTTGCTTTGAGCGGCGTAAGAATCGAGACCCCAAACCCCAAAACACACAACACTCGCGAGCGAGGACGTCTTTTTGCAATCCGTTGGCTCCTTGGAATCGTGGGATCCCAAAGAAAGCGGCGATGTGGTGGCAGGGAATGGTTTTACAAACGGTTTGCAAATGGTGCGGCATCAAATTCATCAGCTCACATTCCTAGCGGCTGAAAGATCCGGCACTTTGAGACTTACTGGCCTCAAGAAAGGCCGCAAGGACAGCCACGTTGAGCTATTCTTGGGGTAGCAAAGCTGCTAACAAACGTCACATATGGGTGTGCCCTTTTTGAGAGGACCCCGCTCCCCAAAAACGAAATGATGGGTTGTCCTTTCGGTTTCCCTTTAAAGCCACGCAAAAAGGCACCATGAAAAAGGGCGCACCCATTTTGGGCTGTCTCAAAATAAGACCCCGAAAAATGGTTGGCTTCCTTTTGGTGTTCCTTTAAAACCTACCAAAACAGAGGGTTCCCGCGGAAGGGGAAAAAAAAGGAGAACAAAAAAACAAAAACGCAACACATCAAATTTGCACCCTGAACCCTCATCGCCTCGCTGACGCCGGGCCCTTGGTGCGCCGCCGGACCAGCACCTCAAGCAAAGGAAACCCTGACGGCGGTATCGAGACCCAACAGGTCCCTGTGAAGCCCCAAAAGGAACCGAATCTCCTTTGGAAGCCCAAGCTGCAAACCAGCCCCATAGCTGAAAAAGCGGTTGGGGGCAAAAAACAAAAACGA